TTAATTTAATGTCTACGTAATTAATGGGACATTGATCGAGCAAAGACCGCCGCGTAACGTCAAAAACAGCCAATTAATTTTATTATGGTCGGTACGTTTCGTAAATTTATTTGTCGTTTACCGATCCGACGGAATCGTCCGCGGTATTCCTAAGTACTCGAGAATGCTCGTTCGCGATCGCTGGAACCTACTTTGTCCCCGATTGGTTTTTATATTCGTCGTCGTGCTCCGTGTTTCCTAGCGTTCGTTTCTTTCCGACCGTATGACTCCAGTTTCAATTTCGCTCGAAATCACCCCCTTTATTTCCAACGAATGGCCGTATTCGAAGCAGGCGTGTACACGTACGTACGTCGTCGCAAAATCCCGTCGTCTAACGCAATTTACCGCCTAGTCTAGGGAACAATCGTCAATCGGCTCGAATCTCTCCTCTCTCTCTCTCTCTCTCTCTCTCTCTCTTTCTCTCTTGCATCCGTGTCCAGTATTTCCTGCGCGACGAACAGAAACCGTGGTATAGGTATCGCGTCATTTTGAGCGGTGCTTTATTTGGGTCGAGTGTCAACAACGAAGCGTGCAAGTATGCTTTGTGGACTCTTCGACAAATGGCACCAGTAAGTACAAAAGCGCTTATACCGTACGACCCGCGAAACGGGGGATCAGCGATACAAGGCCGGTGATAGATCGATCGACTAGCATCGACGGAATTCTGCGATCGACAGTCCGGGAGCTCGTCTACCTTCTTGCCCGCTCGCTCCGCGAAATTAATCTGGAAATGGACGATCTTCCGTTTCCCCTGACGCGTGTCTTTAGATTCTCCCTTCCGGATTAAAAATTTTATTTTAATGCAACTATCTGTCTATCGGTTTATAGTGTATGACTAGCGTAGGTTCGGTAGATCGAGCCTGTCGCAGCCCATAATAAAGCAGTTTTTAAGGTTAACCACGTGGTATTTAATATTTCACCGATCTCCTTCATCCCCCGCCACAGTGTTGCAGACATCAGGATCGAAAACCCACGAAAATGTAGGTAACGTTGTTTGACTTTATTTGTCGCGTCTGTCGGACCAGGTTGTAATTTAATACAAACAAGAAGTTGTGTAAGCATACGCGCGTTACATTCCATGGAAACCTTACACGAAATACGTTGAAAATTCATACGATAAGTCAAAACCACTCACGAAATCCCATGTAATCATGGCCTCTCGCGAAAGGAACGGGTCCATATTTCGCCCGTGCCAATATTGGCTACCGCGCCGCTGTATTATAGCAGATTATTCAATGTCACGGAGAGATTAATGTCCCATCTAGATTTGTATCAATAAAGCAGAAACAAAGGGTATTTGTGTTGGCTGGCATCCATGCATTGAAATCTTCCGTTATTCTGTACCAGAGACAAAACAACTTCATTGTCCCCTCCGATAACGAAGATACGATTGAATAAAAAATTCATTATCCCCTACAGAAATAATTGGCTATAATAAATATCTACGAATCACGGGCGGAGAGTATTTCATCAAAAGAATTAATATTCCTATTTTAAAAAAGTGATTTACGAGCGAGTCTTGATAAAAGAACGTAAATTGTTTTTTTTTTTTAAAAAAAAGCATTATAATGAGGATCGATCGTTCGCAAGAGCAAGTAATTTTTACTTTATTTATGAAATAGAGAATTATTCATCGCGAAACGAGTCTCGGTGCTGGAACGTGAAAACCACATATCATTTTACGTCGACGCGAGAAAACCGTGACACGAGCCCGCGGAGATGTCACAAAATATATTTAATTTTCAGTAGAAAACGTACGTTTATAAATCCAAATACTCGTTTAATTATTCGCCGTGTACTTTATGAATAAACGAACGTATCTATCGAGTGTCTCGTTCGATTAAAATTCATTCTTCTCCTCTACTTTAGTTTGCGTATAATACAGCTTCTAGACTCTCATACGTAATTAACTTTTACCGTGGGCGAGCCAAATTCGTTTGATCACGTTGTCTCGTGAAAATTCATTCGGTTCATCCCTGAAAATTTTTTAATATTAAAAATCTGGTATGCCCGTAAGTTCCTTGACGACTCCCGTTTCATAACAAGTTGAAGAACGGATCAGAGGAATTTGGCGTCCCGTTTCTACGTACAGTTCGCCCCGCTAAAAGCACTCGGGGCCACTAATTAGAATGTGAAGGGGATGGGTACACTTTTCCGACGGTACGAGACTGAAACCGTATTGGAGAGCCAATACGTGATTTCAGTCCGGACGGTCGGCGTCGTCCAGCCAGTTCGGCTTTCATCTGCGGTTAACCCACGTTAAAGCGTTTCGCGTATATTCCTGATATCGATCGACACATAGGCGGCGTTGCACAGCTTTTGCTATAACCCCGATGTGGGATTTCGCGGAGAAAAAGCCGAGCAAAATTGACGGGTGGAAAGTATCTGTACCCGAAGTGTAGAAAAAAAGAAGCGAGAGAAGCCAGGGGAAAAAGCTACCCGGAGAAAATAGATAGTAAAGACGAAAGGGATGATAAAAAATTCACTATCCACAGCAGCAGTTCGTACACGTACGAACACGCGCATAATTACATTTTTATTGCCTCTGTTACGATATCGTGAATATTTATAATGCGGTTCATTTTATTTCTTATCGTTTCCATAACTTCGGAAAGCTGTTAGACGAAGTCGTAAAACCGTTCGAACGGATGGCGTCCCAATTATTTTAATCGGTATAACGTTGGAGCAAAAAACCTACGAATCTTGACGATCTTCAAACTTTTCGATTTTCCATCGCTAAATGGAAATAATGATCGTTTTGATACGTCGAAATTCTGATCGATATTTTTGTTTGTATTTGGAACGTGTGTGATGATGTTCGATAAAAGTATTATGTCCTGTTAAATTTTGTTTAGTTGTAGCGAGGATCTGAAGGAGAAAAAATTACTTCACTGTTTCGTTTTTATTCACGATTTTTTAACGAATATGCTGTCGATTGATAGTACTGCTTCGACGAAAATATGGATTTTGCATCGTAAATATCACTCGGAGGCAATCTTCATACTTCACTGCGGTACCTACGCGACCAATCCTTCAAATGACGTGCACGGAAATTCCGCGCGTTCGAAATCCCCCGCAAGTAAACCAATCAAGCCCAGATGAAGCTTCGAAATAGCTGACGAATGATGTGCCATCATACAGTTACAAATGAAAGATCTAATTTCTGAAACACGGGCAACCGTCATCCGTTGACTTTGCAACGTCACTGTGTCGTTACGATAAAATCTTCGACGATAAAAGCTCTTTTAAATGAAATAAAACGCTTTTATCATCGTCATATTGAAATAAAAAAGATTATCGAAAGTGATTGTTCGAAAAGAATACTATTTCATGGTTGGCCGCAAAGATTGTTTTCCACTTCTCTGATCCGTAGATTTTAGTAATAATTCGTAGCGAAACGACTGTTTGATACAAAAATGAAAAAACCGTTCGGACGATGCGCTTGCGTAGTCATAACACGTTCCTAAAAGCATTCTATAATCCCGTTACTTTTCCGAATTGCAAACTAAAACTTCAGCAATACGCTCCTAAACGGTTGAAGTTTTATTCAACCCAACACCATGATTATCCTCCCCGGGCCATTTTAAGCAAATCCAAGCTCCGAACGGCGATCGCGACTGACCGTACGCGAAACGTAGGGGAATAAAATGAAACGGCCGAAAACTATTGAAAAGCGAATTCACGATACGAGGAACGAACCGAGGGAAGAAAGGAGGCCGAAAGGTTACCGAGCGGGGACATAACTGTCGTCTCTGGTATCATCTGCTGCACAAAGCCGTAAAGTACGGTGCCCGGTTATTTCGGTCAATCCTCGAAGAGGAGGCCGTCCGGAAAATATTCACATCGATCTATACCGAGTGACCTCTCTCGCTTCCAATCTTCCTCCGTCGTGCGACGTACGCCCGCACATGTACACGCACCGGTGTTACACAACCGTGCAGATTCGTTCACCCTGACCAAAACTCTTTTTACCTTCGATCCCTACCCCCGGCCATTCCGTGTCTCCTCGCCCTTTTTCGCCGATTCCCGCCCAACCTTTCTCTGCCACGGTACTGGCACGGTCACTTTTTTTCGTGTCTCTTTTTCTCTTTGATAGTACACGCGATAGCGGATACTGTGTAGCTCATATAGAGTGGCTTGCACCTCAAAGTGCTCTTTCGAGCCGCGCGCGAGAGCCAGGTCAACCGCATCGCTCTTCGGCTACACGAAAGGACACAAAACGGATCGGCGAACCGGATCGACTATAAATACTTCCACTTCGTCGCGATCGCCATTTTTCGGCACGATAAATACAGTCCCCGGCGATTATTCGTCGGCTAGATACCATTATCGCGCGAAGGGGCGCTCAAACTTCGCCGGCCAAGTTATTCATGCGTAAACCGGTCACCGGGTCGCGTTATTTGCATAATGTGAACGTCGGGAAGCATTCGTTCCTTGAGATGGATCGACGGTAATCTTCTCTCAACCCCTTCTCTTCGAGGAAATTCGATTTTACCGATTTAATGCTCGAGACTATTACCTGGCGTCATATACTATCCGTAGACAGAACTGAATTATTTACAGTTTACGATGTATTATCAAACCAATTAACGAACTTTTAATTATTAAATACGTATCGTTGCGCATTGGTAATAAACTTTATTACGTGTAACCGATATATTGCATAATTTATTTAAAATGTGCAGCATCCGCCGAAATTTACATCATTCGCTTCGATGTAACGAAACATTAGCAGCCTACATATTCCGATATAATTACATGTACGAAGTAAAATATTCAACATAAATGTTACACGAATCGGTATTAATTTTCGACTCTGTATTAAACCAACAATACATTACACCTGTGGATATCAAATTATTTTACCTGATGTATTAATCGCGTAACCACAAGACTGATGAAATTTACCTAAATATTTAGAAGCTAGCGAGTAATGGATTTTTGAAATTGTTGTTTTGCAGAACCAAAAACCGAAATTCTGGGTGCGCCAGATCTGTACATCAATCGAGGTAGCACCATCAACCTCACCTGCGTGGTGTTGGAAAGTCCAGAGCCTCCAGCTTACATATTTTGGAATCATAACGATGCCGTGAGTATCTCTTTCTTTGTAAACAATTTCAGCGCCAGACATTCTTTTTCATCGTGGACATAAATACGTCTAACGAAACGTATGGCGGTCCGTAATGTGAAAACGAGTGCAAATACGAAAATATCCCGTGACCGTAATTCATAACCGAGACAGCTCGCGCCGGTGTCGACTTTGTACGGGGATAATTAATGATGATAGTAGTTTTCTTGAGACTCTCGCCGTCCAATTTCGCAAGATGTACATCCTGTGCACGTCGGGTACATTTTTACTTTCTGCTTTAATGAAGTTACTTCGAAATTTTCAACGTCGTCAGAAATGCGTTTCTCTTTCGGAATTATTTCTTCGCGGCCTTTTTTCTACGTACAACTTTCGACTTGATCGAAAACCTGTCGCAAACTTTTATTAATCCTTGGGCAGTGCGCAGAAGGTACTTTTTAACGTAACACCATTTTAATATAAATCCGTTGATTTAAACGATACGGAAAAGTGTCGAAGAGAAATATTTGTTTCAACCCCTCGAAACGTCCGTAAAAATTTCTGTAAACGCAAAGTAAAATGTTTTCTTTGTCAAACAAAGCGATGGAATAAGTAACGAAGATAAACACTGCGAAGGAGTTTCAAAGTTACTTCGAAATGTTCCTAGCTTGTATCTCCGCGTTTACTCGTATGACGCATTATCTAAAGTACACAAAGTATTGGGTACACCCTGAAGAACAATTACCATGAATCACATCCCAGTACCATAAACATTGATCACAATTAATGTTCCTCTCCGCCATACGCTTTTAGCCCTTTCGGAGCGTGGTCGTCCCTACCCCTGCTATCCGAGTATGCGTGAACATAAAGGAAGTCTATAAAACACCACCGCGTCGTCGAGTGTACGCGAGCGAAAGACCGATAAATTTTGATAACGTTGACGTTACGAACTGCTAAATTGTCAACGGTGGCGCAGCTGATAATGGCGCATGGGAGACACCATTAGGCGCATTAAGTCTGACCAAGAGCCTTGGGATTCCCCGCCGCGAACAGAACAGGACCGCCAAGCCTTAAGATGAATTCCACGGCACGTAACTAACGGCTCGAGGCCAAACACTCTGCAACTGTTAATGAGACAACCGGGACCAAAGTAATTCGCATAACGATTGCGCAACCGAACATTAATTTAAAAGATACTCGTTCGCGTACCCCTTTTCTTCTCTGTGGTCGTCCCTTTCTGGTCGAATTTCGCTAGAAATTAGGAATCGAGTTGTTTAAAACCAGAGAATCAACAAAATGATACACTTCGTAAGGAAGGATAGTATTTTGCAAGCGTGCGAGTATTTTCTGTGCCTGGTTAAATTCGACGTTGATACGGTGTATGACGTTCGTCGGAAGCGATAACCAACCGTGCGACTAAAGACTGGCGCTAAAGTTGTAAAACTTTCAAGTACCGGGATACATTTTAGGGCAACTGTGTTACGAAATATGCGAGCGGGCAAAGTGCTGCAGCTCGGTGAAATACGACGGGAGAAAGTCTTCCAGGGGGTCGCGGGGGCGAACCGATAAGAACTGGAATCGTCCCGTGGGAACGAGCCGAGCCGAAATTGCAATCCTTCGATGATAAGGCCGACGTATCGATCGATCCGCGCGGCGAAACATTTTCCACCCGTAAGGAATCCACGGAGTTTGGCGGGGTTTCCCCTTACGCTCCAATAAACCTCGTCCCTTTGATTTCAATTGAATTTCGAGACAGCGTCTTTGTTCCATCAGCTTGCAGCCAGGAGAATGTGTTCCGTCTGGGCTGTCGAGTGTATCTGCGAATTCATCTCGATGCGCGCGGAAGTGCAAGTGTGTGGTCACGTTTTCCCGCGCGTTTCTAAATAGAGGAGACCGAGCGAGTCGCAATTAAATTTACTTGACAATTTGTCGATCGCCTTTCGCTTCTGTTTGTTCTCTCTCTTTTTTAGCTATCCGTTTGCTCGAAATATCTATGGGCCACGATACCCATTAATGAAAAAGCATTCTTTTTGTTTCTTGTCGATCGGAGGCATTGATTAATAAGCGAGCAATAATTGAACGTCCGTTATTAGAATCTTCGTTGTCCAGGTGATGGGCAATCACAATTAATCGAATAGAATGTACAGCGTGACGATAGAATATTCTCAAATTATTAGGTGAAATTAAAATGTTCCATAAAACATATAGTTTTGATTAATTTGCTTCTCTACGCGAGGTAACGAGAACCTAATATTTTTGGAAACAGAGTCCATATTCTAGGAGCTTGCACTGGGCCTGTATATCGCCATTGTTGTAACGATTGATTCGATTCGATCGGTTCAATCGGTTTACCTGAATGAAATCCTATTAAGGAATTGTTAAACGAGATACAATATCGCGTCTTATTTATGTGGCGATCGTGGACGATTGCCAAAAAGGCAAAGCGAAGACGTTGCCAAATCGGTTTCCACGGTATTACGACGACAGAAATAAAAGCGCATTCCGCGGATTTGTAACTCTCATTTGTTCACGATAACGGTCACGGTACACCAATACCGGTCAATATGGTTTAACCCTTTGTATCCCAGAGTTTCCCTCTATCGGTAAAAAATTCCAGCGAAACTTGACTACCAGGTTCGATAACTTGTTGGTAAATCGCGCGTTCCCCGAATCGTTTTAGGGACGCGCGAAAATTAACAGAAACAATGAAGTGGTACCGCGCGTAAGAATGTGTTCCCGGAATGCAATTACATGCGAAACCATTCCAATGAATGTAAAACGATTACGTCGATTGCAGGAATAAACGGTCTATGGAGTAATACAAACTTTCCAGTTGTTGCAATCGATTTTTGTTAATCGCTTAAGTTCCGTTGCTCCGCTGCAGCGAGCAAGCGAAACTTAAATTAATGCATTGAAACTTTGGCCCGATTCGATTTCGATTCAACGTAACTTTTATCAGCGAATTCTCCACGTCAGCGTAGAAACTTGTTGATCCTCTTAAGGTAAACTCGACTCGTGTCATTAGTATACCCTGTACCTGTTCGAAACATTATATCTGTACAGAGTAGCCTATTTCAAACACACGGAATAACAAATGTGTTTTGGGGTTTGGGTAACAAATAAATATCAAATTATATAGAAGCTCTCTAACTTTGGTTCAAGTAATATTCGAAATTTTATGACGCGTCGTTTCAATTTTATTAATGTTTTGCTCGGGGATGATAGGATTCGTTGCTTTTTATCAGATTTAAGCACTTTTCTTCTAAAACTTCGGTGTTTCTACTTTGCTCGGGAACATCTGCGGGCAACCTAAATTTGTAACGCGTAAGCACCACCCCAGTATTTACATAAGAAGGGAGTATTTGTCCAGTGTCAATGTATTTGCCGAACTCCCGCTCGACCCCAAGTAAAAGGGTCATTGTGTACAGCATACGTCACACGGCAGCCAGCTTTATTTACAACTGTTTACCAGCCGGATACAATTTCGGGCTCGAGTATCCGCAAAAAAGCTCGATTCGTGTCCCCTCAAAAGGGGAGGTTAAAGCTCGCGTTACCTTCGCGTGTGACATCGCGCGAGAGCGAACTGTTTGCTGGCATCGACCGCGGAAAATTAAGGTGGACGCTATTTGTCGCCTTTGTTCCCGCCGATGATGCAACGACGGTTTAAATTGTTCACGGGATAAACGTACCAACGCGACGGCGTTCTTCCCGGCGACGTAAAATTCCCTGGGGACCGTAGACTTCGTCGGTTGTTAAGCAAACAAGGCAGCCTCAAAGCGGGAAAAGTTTAAACGACTCGCGAAACACTGACACGAAACAAAGGAATTATTTATTTAACTAGTTCGGCGCTCGACCAGCATCGAAAATCAAACCAAAGCTGCGGTCTCCGTAAACGATTTTGCGCGAACTGGCGATCGAAAGTGGAGAGTGGCTTATTCTGGCACACCTGCTATGTTAATAAAGGTACGTGTGAGCACGTTTGTCGGTCGTGAGAGCAATGCTAATTATAGCGTTTCGTTCTAGGTACGTTAGATGACGCATCAGAAAGGCTATTCTAATGGATCCTGCCTTAGATATGCCTCCCAATTGGAAACCTTCCAGTTGATGAGTCCCCTAGCGAATCTAGGACGGAACCCTCATAATTGTCATTGCTCTTACGGCCGATAAACGTGCTTGCACGTACCTTTATTATCCCTTTAACTACGAGTATATTTTGGGAAGTCGTGCTCCCCGAACGTAAACAAATTAATACGTGCCAATGAACGAATCTAATTTAAGATACAAGCCTCTACGAACTTTCAGTCATTGCTACAGACGACGATTCATCAAACATTGATCGTTACCACTGCTATAAACATTCTACTAAAATTTTTAAATCCAGAAATTTTCCAAGTATGTGACTGCGACATTCAGAAGTTGGATTTTCAAACGTGCATACAAATACGTTCAAATAGAGATAGAATTTTGTCTGTGAGTGTGTGCGTACTTGTGGGGTTGGGAAACTTCGAGGATAGGTCAGTGCATAGCGAGAGTAAAGTGCAGTCGGTTGCAATGCGTTTTAGGGAGAGTTCTATCTGAGAAAGTTTTGAGAGAACTGGCTAGTGTGTTTGTGCTACTCGTTTATGTAAAGTTTCGTTAACATAGAACAGGGAACAGCGAATATCGACATATTAAAGTTATAATGTAGATAGTTATTATCTTACTACAGTCTAAATAATAGTTAACGCTTCCATGTATTCTATTTAATTATGAAAACTATTCTATCGTATCATTCGGAAATCAGTAATTTTATCCAAACCTACCTGTCATGCAAATAGTTTATTAACATAAAAGAATAATGGAGACGCAATAAAGGCTGTAATACGAAACTAAGGCCAGGTAAAATCCTCGTTTATATGAACTTCTTTCGCTACTTTAGCGTACTGAACTCGTCCCTGAAGTTGTGGCTGCTAATAACGAGACACTCTGTATATCTGACTCGGTAAACATTGCTTTCATAACATCCTGGAGCGCAGCATTATGCGAACAATATCCCTGATACTCCTTATTAAAGTAGACCACAATCATTGACTTGCATGTGTATTAGCATACACTCTACGGAAAATTTGGAGGGAATATCTGGTTGCCGTTGAATTTTAAATTGCCGTACAATTTTCTCAATATCGAAACTCCAAGGAAATATTTAATTCGGTAGTTATTGAGTTCCAATAAAATTTTCAATTTAATAAATCTGTCACGTTGTTGAAGTTACGAAACGGGAGAAACGTAGAACAGGAAGAAGGAGAATCGCTTGGAAACGCGCTAACAAGACGCGACATTTTATTCCATTTAAACGAAAGCTGTGTTTAATGGACAAGCAAATCTTGAGAATATTATTACATCAATAGCGTTCACGTTCGCGTTATTTCCGCGATATTCCAGGCTGTTGCGGAAACGTTTCCAGGATACGGACTCGACGTCAACCGTAATAACAACTTCGTGCACCGATAATAACATTACCACCAGCCTCGGTTTCCAGAAACACTGTATTTTTTCGTTCGACGTCCGCTTTCGAACGTTGCCCAGAGGCGGCCGAGAAATCGCGAAACAAATGCCAATTTCGCGGCGCAACAACAGACGTCTGCGTCCGGTCGCCGCCGACAAACGAGGAAACAATTGCACGACGAAACGAGAATATTCCTAAGCTCGAACTGGAAAATATGTTCCTCGAGAAATGAACAATGCAACAAGAATACGAACCAAGGCGAAAAGAACGACCCAGATCTCGTTATTTACACAATTATTCAAGACTTCGTAAGACATCGTGATTTATTTAAGGAAAAATTGAATTGCAGACCGGAGGGTCTTTGCAGGCATTTAATTAGTAACGACGGATTAAATAATTAGCGACTGTCTCACCGTTTTGAACTTTAAAATTTTATCCTGTTCTCTGACATATAAATAAAGAAAATCTATACAGTATGCGTCTCAAAAAGGGCACACCCTGTATAAACACGTTCCCGAATAAATCCCAACAGATTCGTTTAATTTCGTACAATATCCGTCGCGATAAATTGAACATCGGGCATCGCACAGTTTTCGCTGTTCTAAAGCGATCTCGCGCACTGAAACGAATCGATCCCAAAGGATTCAATCAAAGCTGAAACGCTATCGACTTAAATGAAGCAGATAAATTAAGATAAGGGCGATGGGGACGAGGAACGGTGACGCGAGTAGGGGAAGGTGGGCGGGGACATAAGTCGAGGGAAAAATGTAGAAAGACGAGGGACAAGGGAGTCGTTATCGGGGGCGCGAGGATAAGACCGATAAGACAAACGGGTGGAAACCATTCCAATGGACCATTGAGTCCAAGACGTTCCATCGGGTCGTCGAGGATCCCGTGGGATGTCGATTTCTACCATGAACGCGTAATGAGGCTGACGAGACTCCACTCGCTTCCTTCCATTTCCATTTTACCCTCTCCTAGGCCATGGAGACCCTCGCTCCGCCACGCGTTTAAAACTCGCCCGAATTACAAACTCTACGACGCAGCGAAATTATCTGGTTCGTTGAACAGTCTGTTCGCCGACAAGCTGTGGCGGCCAAGGCACCACATACGCCTTAGCCGTTCGAAGCCGCTACAATGTATGGTTGCACACGAGACGATGGTTGCACACGAGACGATGGTTGCACACGAGACGACCAGAGCCGCGTGAGCCGAAAAGCCGTTGTCGTCGTCTCTGACCGTCTTTTGTTTTTGAAGGCCTCTTGGTACGGTGGCGATGATCGTACCAGAGAGTCGAGCGTAACCCGCACCACGAGTCACGTCGTTGTACGACAGCAACAATAAAATTGTGCGGAACGGAACAGGGCGGAGTCATTATTTTCCCGATCCCACATTGGTGACCCCGACGTGATCTCGCCGCGCAAGTAAAGTTTTTTTTAAGAAAATTTGGACATTTTTCGTATACGGACAATATTAGTTAGGGTAGAGAAATAAGTGTATAGTGTTAAGGATATAAGAAAAGGACACGGTCTGACAAATAGTAAGCGCGGTGTGTGTGTGCGGTGAAACTATTTTTTTTTTTGTGACCAAGACTGGTAAAATGACTGACCCTACCGTTAACGCGGGACATCCGGGAGTGTGCCGTTGGCAGTTGATCGCGTCGCTGTACGAATACCCGAGTTTTGTCCGGGAGACCCGGAGATGTGGTTTTCGATGGTAGAGAGAAGTTTTGAGGTATCCAATGTAACGTCGGAGACCACGAAATTCGGGTACATTCTCGGCGCGTTAAGTGCGCGACACGCCGCGGAAGTAAGAGACATTATCATGAATCCTCCGGCCACGGATCCGTACACGACGCTCAAAAATGAGTTTATTCGCCGGCTTAGTGCTTCGCAGGAACAGAAAACGCGACGGTTATTGGAACACGAGGAAATCGGGGACAGAAAACCGTCCCAATTTCTTCGTCACCTGCACGGATTGGCCGGTACGGCTTTTTCGGACGGTGTATTGCGGACGCTTTGGATGGGCCGACTACCTGCTAATATGCAGGTGATTTTATCCACGCAGCGGGACACCCCGCTGGATAAGGTGGCAGAGTTGGCAGACGCTGTTGCGGATACGATGACACCGCGGGTACACGTCACGGAGGCCGCGATTACGGGCGTATCTACATCCTGCCAAATACCCCCGCCGGGCCCGAGCATCGAGGCCATGTTAAACATTAAGATGTCACAATTGGCTCTTTCCTTGAGGCAGGAAATTTCTGCCATCCGTGAATCCTTGGTGGACCAGGGGCAATCTTCCCGTCGCAGGTGGACCCACCGAAATCATCCAAACTCGCGCTACCGCAGACGATCTCTATCGCGATCGCGAGAGCGGCCCGCGGGAGGACAAATGGACCATCAAGGGAAATGCTGGTACCACTGGCGGTTCGGTCCGGCCGCGCAGAGGTGCGTTGCACCGTGCAATTGGAACGCCACGGATCAGGGAAACGACCTAGGGGAGTCGTTGATGGCGGCCAGCGACACAAATCCAGCATCACGCCGCCTCTTCATCTTAGACAACAGCTCGAAGACGGAATTTTTAGTGGATACCGGGGCCGATTTGTGCGTTTTTCCGCGCCGCCTGCTAGGCGGATTGCGAGAAAGATCGGAGTACCAGCTGGCGGCGGCGAATGGGAGTGTAATTAACACCTACGGGACAGTGTCGTTAAACCTGCACCTCGGCCTACGACGGGATTTCGTGTGGCGATTCGTGGTTGCGGATGTTACAAAACCCATAATCGGGGTAGACTTTCTCGATCACTTCGATCTTATGGTGGACATCCGCAATCGTCGCCTCGTCGATCGGACCACGTCGTTAACGGTCCGCGGAACACGAGCCGAGGATGAAACGCCGTCGGTGAAGACAGTAGCAGGGACTACCGTTTACCACCAGCTCCTGATGCAGATGCCGGAACTTACACGGCCTAGCGGCACCCCGATGAGGACTACGCACCAAACGGTGCATTACATCGAGACAACCCCTGGACCACCCGTTTCCAGCAAGCCGCGGCGGCTTGCACCGGACCGGCTCAGGGCTGCCCAGAAGGAGTTCGACGCGATGGTGAAGATGGGCATCGCTTGTCCTTCGAAGAGCGCGTGGTCAGCACCCCTTCATATGGTTCCGAAGAAGGGCGAAGAAGCTTGGAGGCCTTGCGGTGACTATAGAGCGTTAAACGCACGGACAATTCCCGACCGATACCCCGTGCGTCACATTGAGGATTTTGCGCAACAACTGAGTGGCAAAAAGGTATTTTCCACAATAGATCTCGTCCGAGCTTATAATCAGATTCCGGTTGCGTCGGAAGACGTCGGAAAAACGGCCATTACAACGCCGTTCGGGCTTTTTGAATTCCCGTACATGTCGTTCGGGTTACGAAATGCCGCGCAAACATTTCAGCGCTTTATCGACGAAATTTTACGCGGTTTCGATTTTTGTTACGCGTATATAGACGACATTTTGGTCGCCTCAGAATCCCAAGCCGATCACCTGCGCCATTTAGAATTATTATTTAAACGATTAAAAGATTATGGCATTGTTGTTAATCCGAATAAATGCACGTTCGGACAGGAAGAAGTTAAATTTCTAGGCTATCGGGTAAATGAAAGCGGCACTCAACCTTTGCCCGGCAAGGTACAAGCCATAAAGTCATTTCCCCTTCCGAAAAACGCGAAGGATTTGAGGCAGTACTTGGGAATGCTTAATTTTTACCGCCGTTTTATCCCAGATGCCGCTCGCTTTCAAGCACCCTTGAACGACCTTCTAGCCGGCAATTTAAAGGGCAAGACCCCGATAGCCTGGACTTCGGAAGCGCGTCAGGCTTTCGAAAATACCAAAAATAGTTTAGCAAACGCAACCCTGCTTTCTCATCCTGCGGTCAACGCTCCATTGTCGGTTACCTGCGATGCTTCTGATTACACCGTAGGAGCTGTTTTACATCAGTGCGTCGGCAACGAACGACAACCATTAGCATTCTTTTCTAAGAAATTAGGATCTGCCGAAAAGAAGTATTCAGCTTACGACCGGGAACTACTTTCTATCTATTTAGCAATAAAACATTTCAAACATATGCTCGAAGGCAGACATTTCACGATTTTTACAGACCATAAACCCATAACTTTCGCTTTCAAACAGAAATTAGATAAATGCTCTCCTCGACAATTCCGATACCTAGATTACATTGCGCAATTCTCTACAGATATTCAACATATTTCCGGTAAAGACAACGTCGTTGCCGATGCACTGTCCAGAGTGGAAACGGTTAACCACTCGATTAATTTCGAAGAATTGGCAAAATCGCAAGCCCAGGATGAGGAGTTGCAGCGGTTGTTGAATAGCGAATCTAGCCTGCGATTACGCAAAGTCTCGTTGCCTGGCACGTCTTCCGAAATTTTTTGCGATATTTCGACTAAGAATGTAAGACCTTATGTCACCCCTCCTTTCCGACGCGCAGTTTTTAATATGTTACATGTATTATCACATCCAGGTATTAACGCGACGATCAAGCTCATAACGCAACGTTATGTTTGGCCGTCGATTAAAAGAGATGTTCGCACGTGGACACGTTGCTGTATACCGTGCCAAAGATCAAAAATTTCCCGTCATGTGACTGCACCATTGGCTACATTTGTTAAACCTTCTGCGCGATTCGAACACATTCATTTAGACATAGTAATTTTACCGGTGTCCGAAGGTTTCAGGTATTGTCTGACCTGTGTAGACAGATATACGCGGTGGCCGGAAGCCTTCCCCATGGTCGATCAGGAGGCCCAAACCGTAGCTCGAACCTTTTATGACGGTTGGGTAGCGCGGTTTGGTGCTCCCGTACGGATTACCACCGATCAGGGTAGGCAATTCGAATCCAAATTATTTTTTGCGCTGAACAATTTAATTGGATCCACACGCTTTCGCACAACGGCGTATCACCCAGCGGCCAATGGGATGGTAGAGCGTTTTCACCGACAGCTCAAGTCGGCTATAAGGTGCCACGGATCCGACAGGTGGACAGAAATACTTCCGACGGTTCTACTCGGTATTCGTTCCGCCTGGAAAGAAGACCTCGGCGCTACCTCAGCGGAATTAGTTTATGGCGAGCCATTAAGATTACCGGGAGAGTTCTTGTCTTCGCATTCAGCGGAAGGCACAGAAAATGCTTCCGATTTTACTAATAGACTACGCAACCATTTTTCTAAATTGAGTCCCTCTAATGCATCACGCCATTCCGTTAATCGTACATTCGTTTTCAAAGATCTTAGCAGTTCAACACATGTTTTCATCCGAACAGATTCAGCCAAAACTATTTTACAACCCGCTTATGAAGGTCCATACGCCGTAGTGCGCCGAGGCGAAAAAACATTTACAATAAACATTAGAGGTAAGGAAATAAATATATCAATTGAAAGGCTAAAGCCTGCTTATATGCTAGCAGAAAACAGACCGGATCCCGTGAGCATAGAAAATCAGCCGGTCACACAAACAAACGTACCTGACAATGCGCCGGTTATACAGCAACGTGTTACGCGTTCAGGTAGACGCGTACGTTTTCCCGAGCGATTTCAAATTACGCGGTAGTACTTAAGGCTTGCGCATTATTATAATAAGTATCATATACCATTTATTTTTTTCCATCACTTTTATGTACTTTCATGTATTTTTAGGTATTACGTATTATATATTAAACTCCATGTAAATTCCTTTTTTTTTCAACTCTGTTCAAATACTGTAATGTAAATCTTAGTTAGGATAACGTATTTTATATAATAGAGTAAATGGTAGTGGTAATGTAGTCGGTCAATTTTTCGTAATTGTGCCAATTACTGGCAGGGGGGTAGTGTGGCGGCCAAGGCACCACATACGCCTTAGCCGTTCGAAGCCGCTACAATGTATGGTTGCACACGAGACGATGGTTGCACACGAGACGATGGTTGCACACGAGACGACCAGAGCCGCGTGAGCCGAAAAGCCGTTGTCGTCGTCTCTGACCGTCTTTTGTTTTTGAAGGCCTCTTGGTACGGTGGCGATGATCGTACCAGAGAGTCGAGCGTAACCCGCACCACGAGTCACGTCGTTGTACGACAGCAACAATAAAATTGTGCGGAACGGAACAGGGCGGAGTCATTATTTTCCCGATCCCACAAAGCCATAAAAATCTTGGAAATCTGAGACCCAGTTGATACCGAAACAGTAAAATCCCAACTTTGTCTCTGACTTGCTAGATTTTTTTTTCTTTCCGATGCTCGGAAAATTCTCAGCCGGAGAAGATTAAAAACGACGTCTCTTGGCGTCAAAAGAGTTCGGAGTACACGGTGAAAAGACGTCGGAAAATTCTTGTAGATCTTTTGAAATTTAAAAATTTACTTAGAAGTTGTTAGCGAAACGTTCCGATGAGTTTAAGAAACGCGAAGAAAGATATATACGATCTAGTTTTCGATTATAGACATCTACGTTTCCGTGGCCAAAAAATCTATTATTTTTATTCGTCGAGCGTCGAAATGTGGAAAGAATTCGCGATTTAATTTTCGTTTAATAATATGCTTGCGCGATGCAGCGCGTTTAATGAAAATCTGAGGATCACGGTAAACTTCAGCGACAAACTTTGACGCGACTTTACGGCGTATATCGACATTCTGCTTTTTTCAGTGGCAAAGTTTAGCCGCGCTTAGCGTGCCCAGTACCGCGAACACGAACACGAACAGAAATGTGAAACGTGCGCGTCGCAGTTATTACCCGTCGTGCGCGGAGCCCGGATTAACCATGCACTTTCGAATGAAACTTTCGCATATTATTCTGCGTTACATCACGGACGAGATACCGGAACGGAAGGAGCAGGGCATCCCTTATCGAGCTACAGAGTTACAACTTTCTCGTACGATTAATCTTCCTTTAGAATCATTCGAGCGAACTACAGACAGATACGTCCAACCGCGAAAAACATTGTATTGTTACTTGAAATTCGATTACGCAAACGAAACGTCGAGACTCGTTGAAGCAAAGACACTATTATTTACCGGACACGCGTATTCTATTGTTAGTTGGAAATAAACCTCGTTAACGCTTGCGAGAACTGTTTCTCTTTGCCATGGTCTTCGTCGAGAAAGTGTCAGCGTCACAGTTTCCTCGCGCTGAAAACAGAAGACACTTTTACCGTTAATGGGAAATCGCAAAAAGGTCAAGATTTCTGCGACGTTGTCAAGAAAAAGAAATATCTAAGAATGAGTTTGAAGAAAGTTCGCAAAGGGTGCAGTTCCTCGCGACGGGTTTAAGATGGTACGTAAGACTAGCGCACCGAAGGCTCGAGCTCTGCAGATCATTTATTTAGAAATCCGTCTCAGGTCTGACGACAGTAGTCGCTCTGCTTCTACTTCCCTCCGCTCACGAGCGTACGTCGACCCTTACGACCCCTGTTAAAGAGACACTCGCGAGGAACGTCAAGTGGAACAGGCACAGGATAAACATAACGTTTGCAGGGGCTGGCAGTGTGTACCGTTGCACGTTCGGGCGTTGCACCGTGCCACCTTCGCTGAATCTATATTGTTGGGATGTCTACGTAAACGGCCGTAGACCAGGTCAATAAAATAGGTAAACATTTATTAGCCCGGAGACGATACCCTTTATAAACCCCAGCAGGAGGAACAGTTACAAAGCAATAGCTATACCGAAATGCACGACCGTTATTCTTTTAAATATTTTTACCAAATCATTGCCGTGCAATAAGACACTTTCAAAATCTCCCCAATATTCTGTGCCACTTCCATCGCTCGTCAGAGGACTACGCTCAACCTGTACCTCTCTCACGAGTACTCGACTAACCATCAAATGTTCTGGAAAAATGTCTAATTTCGATAGCAGCGGCTGACGTAGCCGACGATAAAACTAATATAAGTCCGAGACTCTGATCGTACCCTCGCAGCTTTCATCCGAAAGGGGGGGAGCAACGATATCCCCCGCGCCGCAATTTTACAAGTTCTTTTCGATTAACGACCTCCGGGGGCACGAAAAGAGAAATCATCGAGGGGAAAAGTAAGACATTTTTCCCTTCTGGCCTCGTATCGACGCTCATTCAATGGCGACGGATGTCGAGGTGCAGTCTCGAAAGCTTATCTCCCCCGTTCCTCAATCCCAGTTCCAACTTCGAACCGTCGAATAAAAGGGAAGTTCCTACGAAGGTCGTCCGTTTCTCCCGCGTATCGCATCCGTTCCTTCGTATCAGGAAACGACCTTGCTGTTCGCGTTTCTCAAAGCGGTCCCTCGATCTTTGTTGCAGATAATCAACTACAACTCCGACAGAGGCGGCGTATCCGTGGTCACGGAGAAAGGTGACAGCACCACGAGTTTCCTGCTCGTGCAAGAAGCGAAACCATCCGACTCCGGACGGTACACTTGTAATCCCAGTAATGCTCAACCAAAATCGATCACCGTGCACGTACTCAATGGTGAGTGGTACCGACTTAATTGCGAACGGTTTCTCTTTCTCGTCTCGTTATCAAATCGTTCGCCCTTCCGCGACGGATTATTACCGTCCTCGAAGCGGAGGAAATTAATATACCCGGCGATTTCGTTCGGCGACGCGGAACTTTTTATCGGGCGAATTAATAACGAAGGAGGACGAACCTTTTCCGGATATTAATTTAAAGTTGATGAACGCCAAACAAAGGAGAACTACGAGAAAAAGAACGGAACCGCTGCCTTCGTTCGATACGACCGTTTAATTAATGAATCCTTCTTCGTCGCGTCCGATTAATGGGGTTGCCGCGCGATATTAATGCGTTCTTTAAGGGCATTTAGAACCACGCTTCGCTTCCTTTCACCCTTAAACACGTAACGCGCAATTGAAACGTCCAAACGTATGCGCGTATCTCTGAACGCCAAGTGCCTCCGGTTCAACAACGGAGCCAGTTTGCCATCGTAATTAGCTCGACTGGATGAAATTAAAGTGCGCCCAAGGAGTCCGCCAACTCTGGCCGCGCGACTTTGTGTCGCGAACCAAGAGTCTGGTGCACTCGGGTGCCATATTCACTGCGGCCTAAATTAAGCATTCTAGGCACGCCAAGATCCTAACGAGACACTTTGTTGCCGACATTGTCGTAAACTGATATTTTTGGACGGTTATGTGGGTCGCTCAGGCCCACAGTCCAGCGAAAGACTCGAAAAGACTCTATAAAGAAACCAAAGTAACAAAGTAATTTAAACTTCGAACGTAGCCTTTAAAATTAGTCCCTTGATGTACTCGACGATCGATCACCTATTCTTATTCTCGCCTGTATCCTTCTATCGCAGCTAACCGCATTGTACTACTTAATCTTGTTTAAATTTCTTCGTACGTACAATGTTCGTGAAGAATGATTTGTTTTAAGAATATCCAACGTTAAGATGCGTTGATTTCAATATATCAGAACTTCGGCTACGAATGATTGCGAAAGTTAATATAAAGAACTTAGGATGAGTCAGACTCGTAATTATATAGCAAGGGGTTAAGAGCTGGTAAGGCAGCTTAAGTTGATAATATTCTTAGCGGGCGATGGTACGGGTGTTTTCAGAAAATTTAAGTGTTGTCCTCTGTTTCAGGAGAGTATCCCGCGGCAATGCAGCACGGTGGCCAAGCTAAGCAACCGAGGCTCTACTCCCTTCTGCTCTGTCTGTGTCTGCTGCTTTACTAACTGTGTCATCCCCCTCCCCCGACCATCGGAAGTCCTTCCTACCCTGCATCGTATCGACGACAGTGAGCAAGGGTCTTCAACCGTGATATCAACCGACCGTGGGGACAAAAAACGCGAACGTCACCGAGTGGTGGTGCAGTGACACCGGTAACAAAAAAAAAAGATCGAAAAAATAGAAACCGGCTACGGTGCGCGCCGAGTGATCGCGCGGACGAAAAAGAGACTCGCGGTACCATCGTCGGTCGATGAAACGTTGTTGAACCGAATCGACGCGAACTTGGGGACCGTGTCGCTGAAACGCGACTGAATACGGCCCCGGGGGGGGCGTCGGTTAACGCCGAGCGAGACCAAGGAACCAGCCCGTGGCAAACGTCGACGGTAGCGTTCGACGTTGCAACAAAGTGACTGATCGTGATCGCGGGGCTCGAACAGACCACGGCGGGGCGAGAGGCAACGTAACGCGGAAATAATGCAGCGGCGGTTGGTCGCGAAACGATTAAACCCGACCCGGTCGCGGGACAAACGGAAATTGAGATGGCGAAAGACGGGAGAACGAGCGAGACGAGACGAGCGCCACGAGGGAGCCGGCGAACGGAACAAGCGACCGGGACAAAGGCGTGGATCAGAGTACAAAGGATCGCCTTTCCTCCGCAATTATTCAGCCACCCCGACACGCGGAATGTGTACGGAAGAGGTGGGACAGAAAGCGGTTAGAAGCCCGGGAACACCGATCGACAGCCGGATCCGTTTTCCATAGGCGCGTCATACGTCATTCGCGTCGAAAAGGGCGAATCGTTGCCACGCAACCCCCGTAATTTCGATCGTATCGCGTCGATCCACGCCGGTCAGACGACGGCCGGGCAGTCCCTTTGCCGTTAAAGACCAATAACCTCCGCCCGCGTACTCGCCTCACTTCCGGAACACTGGTTCTCGTAATATTTATACGAATGATTTCGACGGGTCGTACTCTATCGACGATCGCCCGCAACATCGAGCACACGCTCGCGCGGATCACGAAAATCTTCGAGGATGTCGATTATCCGTACTAATCGAGGGACAAATTCGAACCAGAGAATCACGAACTGAAACAACTGTAAATTAAATATCTTTCACGTAATGTAAACACACTACAAGCTCACGTCACGAAAGAAAATTAATTTTTTTTTAATACGACCAATTTTTATATTTTTTTTTATATTTACACTTATAATTTTGTCGTTCAGTACCACTATCTTTAGTAGTGTATTTGAATATCTTTACGATCGTTTCCTCGACGATTTTCGTTTTCCGCCCAAGTGCAAGCTCGCTTTCGCGGATAACTTTCGCCTCGCGGATACAAGTTTTTTAAAATGTCGACGTCGCGGTGCTCGAGCATCTTTGCGCGGGCCCTCGTTGCGCGCGGCATTGCAGCGGTATACGATCAAGCGTAACGAATTTTAACCCGGGCAGGATGAAACGCGACGGCCAGCGAGCAATTAATTCCCCGCTATCGCGACCCGATCGTAATACGTTTATTTACTACGGCGACCGATACATTGCGCGGATAAAGCTGCGCCGTATGGCAAAGTGGCGTCTCCTGTATCGATTAATGGCTTCGCCTAACAGACGGTGCACGCGACGGAGCCGAAAGCTCGCGAAAATCCTCGTCGGATACAGGGATCTTTCGAGTGGCACGATTCCACGTGTATTCCACGCTGCGCGACGCGTTCTTTGGCTACGATAATCGCCCACGCTCCTCGAACTCCAACAAACAACGACGACGATGCATTACGATGACGCTCGTTTCGTATTTTTTATGGTTTTTATATTTTTGATATTTTGATGATTCGTTCAGACAATCTTGCATACTTGAAGAATACAGAGATTCCCAATAATTATGATACGATCCAGGAGATGATTCTACGCGAAAAACTAGGTCGAAAACGTAGAACAAAGTTTGCTTACACGAGGTTCTGTTCTCGTGAAAATCGACTCTGAAGATTCGTGGCTTACGTGTGCATCAGAGTACAATTTTCAGATTAGAACAAGTAGAAGTAGTAAGTATTGGTCAGACGCGTCGGACAAATTTTATTCAATCGCCAGTGTAACCAACGAATTTTCAAATTTAATTATCTCGGAAAGGAAGCATTATAGAAACAAATTTTATTGCTACGTTTTTGACTTATTGTTTTTACTCGAAAGTTTTGGTACATGTTTTAATAACAAGAAAATTCTTGGCTGTCAATTTCTCACCAGACGCAACCACTGAGTAAGTAATGGATATTGGACGTTTAAAAGAAGAATGAAAATCAGTATGGATCGAATAACTGAATATTTATTCATAAAAAGTAAAATAAATATCTAGTCATTTCCTAACCAGCGTCTGTAAAAAGAGTGTGCGCCAGGATTCGTTTAATCCAAAAATTCTGCGACAGTCAACGCATTAATAAATGGATCCGTGGTTTGCAATATAAATTATTACTACGTTTGATCGTGACAGAAAATTTCTTATTACATCGTGCGTCGCAACACCGACCACAAAATTATCGAATTTAACATTTTTATACGTGCTAGAGTTAAATCCATAAAGTCGACTGCAAATTGTAATTTATACATTAATTACTTTGTAAAAATGAAATCGCCAGAGGATATTTTCTAGTAAATACGAAACGAATTGAATTGATATTAACGTATCAACTTTTGAAGTAATTAATGTCAGTAAACATTTTCGGATGATGTGCTTCGAAACTCAACGATGATACACGTACTTGAAGTAATGTTCGCAATAAAAACACCGTGTTCGTTACTTCTGTTCATTTACAGTTATAAAATTGCCGAAAACGGATTCGCAAAAATTTCTCTTCTGCGCGAGAAATAAAAAATTCCCACTGAAAAGGAAATCCTTGAAATCGGAAAAAAATAGAGAGAGAGACAAGAACCGAGAAGCTGGAAGAATAAAATAAGAAAGAAAACTTGATGACAAGAAAGAAAAACGTCCAACAAAAGCGCGATGTTGACATTTTTATTTTCACACCTACTTTTTACTAAAATGGTTGACCATTATCTAGGATTTATTTATACCTCCGAGTTCCTATATTTTAAGTCTGGTTTTATTCAGAAAAATACTCGCCCAGGTGTTCCCTTTGTAAGATATAGGCAGTCGTCAATTGAAATATCCAACAATCGCGTTCGTATGAAATCCGAGCCAATAATAAATCTCGAACGTTGTATGCTTTACTTTTTACATTCTATACATTTCATACCGACCTTTCAGCGCGGACTTTTTTTCATCCAAGATAGAAACGAATAATCGTACAATTGCAAAGAAATGCTAAATAAATTGGAGATGCCGCTTCTCGCAGAAGTCCCTTGGAAATCGTCTGTAATACAAACGGGGAATAATAAATTCTATGCAAATAACTTCTTCGACGAATGTATTAAATTTAATGGCTGTTTAATGGGTAAATAGAGCTCGATAGAACGTTGAAAGCTAATGTAGAAAGGAAAAGCCTCGATAATCAGTTTCGTTGCGCACGATGGTAATCTGCATAAGATTACAGCTCGGATTGTATATTTATTTGGAACCTTTGGCATTACGTTATTTCGCAAGCTTTTCCGTAGTTTTAGGATTCGTTCAAAGAAGACGTAATATATGAGTCGAAAAACATTCGGGAGTTATATCAGCTCGCGCTGACCGTCTACCCGTCGTTGGTTTTGCCGCGATTAATAAAACTTCCTCCGCCGAAGGTGGAGCGAAAAAATAAAATAACCGGAAATATGAATAATGAATGAAAACCAGGGAAACGGTTTAATCCGAGGACTCGATGCGGACGACCGCGGTCGGAAGTCGAAGTAATATCTAGTAGCGAGGTAAACGTGATTAAAAAAGTTTCCGCGGGGGGGTAATACGATGACCCGATTACACGTAAGAACACTTCTCTCGTCGCCGCGTGAATAATTGCGTCTCCGCAACATCCGAAAACCGCGAAGAATAATGGTTCCTTCGGCCGGAGCTGGGATTATCTTAACAAACATTCGAGCATTCGAGCATCCCTTCGACGACCGCGCGAAAAATAATATCAGAGAATATATAATTTATGGTTTAGTCGGGATCAGAAAAGAAGATTACCTAAAATGATAAATTCAACCGAATCCTCGATGGGCTCGCGATCGTTTAAAAATCCCTTTTCCAAGAGGCTGACTACAAACAAAACCCTCGAGAATAACCCGAGGAAGATATTACTATACTTCAACTTGGGTATTCAAAGTTTATACGCAGCACTCGAACGCCTATAAAATATTCGAACATTAAATTATTCGAGTAGCCCCGACCCTGGTTGCTTTTCCGTTTCTTCGCCGCTGCTTCACCCGCACGCGATCGCGGTAGATTTTTCCCTCCTAAAAATCAGCCGGTTCCGGTGCAAAAGGGAGGAAGGAAGAGAGGAGAGAAAAAGGAAGCACGCGAAACAAACGGGGGGAGAAAAAAACCAAGGGAACAAGAGCAAAGACGGTGGCGGCGGCTGCAACAACGCCCGGCGTTCTCCGGCCGCCATTTATCAAGGTAAACGCGAGGTGCACCGCATAATGTTCGCGCCGAGGTTCTCCACCCTCGACCCTCGAGGTGGATGTGTCTGCGTTACATACTGCCGCTCGTGCATCGCCACAGAAATTCGCGCGTGTACGCACACCCACGCACGCACGCGCTCGTCATCGAGGCCGTGTCTCTCCAGAAACGTTTGGATTACGGGTCAAACGCTGACCGATTAGGATTGCTCGCCCGACAGTCGCGTTGCCCCTTCGAGATTGCTTGTCCGCTGTCGCGTTAACGCGATGCGTCCTCGTTGCTGTTTGCCAGCGTCTGATACGAGTAAACTTGGTCTTCGGATGAATTAATTAACCGCCGTGTGGCCATTTATCGATTCGACGCGGGCAAAATGAAAATTTCGAGGCTCCGGGACTTTTCGAGATAATCTATGATTACGAAACTTTGCGCCATTAGAGCTTGATGGAATCTTAATTAAATTTTACGTTGCAGCCGTCGATCGACGGTGTAATGGACGTCGCGAAAAATTGTTGATTGAGCTCGATGATACTCGGTACTCGTTAATAAGACCGTAGAACGAGATTGCAAAATTGATAGGTTAATCCATGGACGACCGAAACGAGATTTTAATGTTTTTGTATTAGTAAGAGAGAAATAGCTTTGGTTAGGCATTTTCATTTTCGTGTTTTCTACCGATATTGTTCTTAAATAATTTCAGAAGTTTTTCCGCGGTGTAGAGATAATTTAGTTTCCAAGAACAATATCGAATTCGATATTTCTTGTGTGATATAAAGTCGAATGTGAAAGAGCTTCGTAGCAAATGCGTACGAGTGGAAATACAACCGAGGTGTCGTTATTATATATAACTTCTATACGAATTCGCAACTATATAAATTATTTTTTGTCGCGATCGTTAAAAAGACGGTAACAGAGGTACAATGCAGCGTACATAATATTGAAGCCCGTGGAATTGCAAAATGTCACGTCACCGCGAGGTACAATTATTGTCGTTTCGTTGTATCAGATGTAGATATACGTTAGCTTTGCATAAATTAATGAACTGCTGTCCCATCGATTTTCTTTTGAAAATATAAAGTTAGAAGCGGAATACTTTCAACGCCATGAATGTACGTGAATTGTTTTCAACGCGAAAGAAATTATGAAAAAAAACAAGTAATTTCTTAGCTTCATTCATACGGTATCAAATAAAGATATACATTTACATTTATCGTATTCGTCATTAAAAGAATCGTACAATGAAACTGTATGAAATATTTTTTCGAGCATCCTTGAATTTCAGGCTCTCATTATGGATGAAATTTATATAATATTCAAGACTGATTTAATACTACGCGTTCTGTTTTATTCAAATTGTTCTCGTATCAGTGGCAGAATTCCTTCCTCGAGTGAAAAGGATCAACGCCAATATGAATAAATCAAACGACAGTAAGGAATTAAATGATCCGCGGCATGCAACCGTCCACCTATCGATATTTTCCCTATCTTCCCTCTTTCAAACCATCGCGAACACTTCCCATGAATATTAAACGAAACAATATCTGACGCGGACATGCTCTCTCCGTTTCAACTTCGCGAAACTCGCTTCAATCGGGAACTAGATCTATTTTGCTAAAGTTACAATGAAAATATTTGCTCGTCGGCGTCGAACTACATAACGAACGTCCGACTATTCAACACGGTACGAATGGGTAAACGTGTACATTTAGGGATACTCGCGCGCAAGGAACAACCGAAGAAATAAGAACAACCGGACGGAATATGAAAAGACGTCCGCCGAAAGAGATACGGGACCGCGTTCCACATTTAACGACGGTCAGTTCCATTCGAGTCGGCTCGCAAACCGGTGCAATAAAAATCCCGGTCCGATTTTCCCGTTGAATTATGAATGCCGCCGTTTTAATAATTCCCGTCGGTGGCAGAGAAATGGCCAGACCACAATTATATAAACTCCCGTGTATCATACAAATGCATCTAAACTTCGCGGCCGTGTAATTCCGGGCTTTGGAACCTCCAACGTTCTGTAGATTATATTGAAAGCGTTCGCGACTCGAGATTGTTATAACCGCGGTCGACCCGCGGCGTAATACTAAAAATAACATTTATTTCTGTCGGCGATAAATACGAGGAAAAGAGCTCGCCGCGGGACGAAAGGGAAAAAGAAAATAAGAGGAAAGGACAGTTTGCCTGGACAAACAAAGATAATACGAGCCACCTTTATTGATCGATTCTCGTTAACGCGACAGCGTCCAGGTACTTATTTCCCCTGAACGATTCCGGAACCTTTTACGTCAAACGGGGGATGACGCGCGATCGCCGGTGCACGTGGAGTGGCCCTCCGAAAAAATCGAACCGAAAACAGCCGGTGGTTCGCGGAAAGGCTGAAATTTTGACAGTGATTCATACCGCGCGTAAACCTGGCCCGATTTAATTCAATATTCGAGCGTGCTTCGCCGTTCTCCACCCTTCTGTGACGGAACTCAAAGCGACCCAGATTAAAACGGTCTAGAAAATCTGATTCGAAAAATACGGTTGACCGCGATACAAAGGGTACGCCCTGTATAGCTAGATGAGAGGAGCGCAGGTAAATGAGAAGATGTCTGGGCAAAGAAAGAAAGATACGACGCTCCTCTCGCTTAACGACCATTCCCAAGTCACACTTGCCGCGTCATTTATTTCGCTGGGAACGAACGGGACGTCAAAGGAATGCATTCGTCTCTGGTTGTGGCCTGGAAAATAATTATAAATAGTCTTGATAGTTCGCGGAGCCACTGATTGATGCTTCTGCCGGAGGGAAAAAATCAAAGGCAAACATAAGACAGACGGTAACGATCGTTTCTCTCTGTTCGTGACTTCCTGGCTATTTTATTTAAATGCGATCGAAACGAACTGGAGTTGATTTTTATCGCGACTGAATTTTGAGACCGAAGAGATATTTAAAACTCTTTAACCTATTTAAATGCAACGATCTGCGTAATAATAGCCATAATTACTATTCTTCTGCGAGATAAAATCTTTTATTAAACGATTTGCATTCATATTTTATGAAATAATCAGGTATCGTTTCAAAATTTGTGTAAATCGAACACGGTGGTTTAATATCT